TTTAGTGCAAATATATAAAATAAGAGGCATGTAAACATCTTTAAAATTTCTAGAATTCTAAGATCTCAGCTTAATTAAAATTTGGCACAACGTAATAATATGTTAATAACTTCAGATTTAATAATAAGCAAAAGTAATTGCATTTATTACGTACACACATTAAAAAACAATATATAAGAAAGCATACAAATAAAAATAGCGAATGAAGTAAAGATAGTTGAAAAATGTGTAAATACCAATATATTAAACTGATTCCTCAAGCAATACACAGATAAACTAAATTAAATGAAGTTTTGTTTCATTCAAGCAAAACACACTAAGAAAAAGTCAAAGCTTAAAAAAATATTGTTTGCACAAACCACACATCTGAAGTGAAACTTCTTTTCTTAAATAACCTAACGGTACATAAGGCAACGTGGAATGGAGCAACTCATATGTATGTGTATATAGTATATTGTCGCGTGTGACGTTCGTGACGCTCGAAGCGTTATAGCACGGTAATATTATCTATACAGTATTGTGACTCGGCCCTGTCCTTGAAATAACTGCCTACGGCCGAGCGGAGCGTATCCACGCGGTAGGGCTGCCCGCCTACAGTATTTTAATTTCATCTTCATAATTCATTGAGTTTGTTTCTAGTTTTGTGATTGTAAATATTTTATTTCATATGTAAAAAAATGTTGTGAATGAATTAGGAAGTGTTACATAAAATACATGTTATTTTAATTTAAAAAAAAATAGATTTCAGACAGAAAAATATTTACGCCTCGACGTCGTACGTCTCACGTACGAAAAACTTCATTATTTAAATTTAATAGTATAATAAATACGCATTCGTTTAAAAAGTTTAATTATTGAATAGTTCAAACAACCAAAAACAGCACAATATCGACTATTGCTCTTTGCCATTTTAAATAATGTAGGTATCTACTTAATTCAATCAAATATTCACAATACACGACTAACTGCTTAAAAACAATTCACACCGTTCAGTCGCTGCTGCGGCGCATTTGCGACTGGATGCCCACCGGGTGCCGCGCCTACGCCACCGTAGGTATGACACGCTTTCCGACCGTTTGTATGAAGATAGAATACTGTATAGATAATATTACCGTCGTTATAGCCTTCACCCAGATACCCTCCAACTTTCATGCACGTCGGGAAGAGCTGCGCACGCATCCCACACACACACATACATATATAAATAGTCGTGTGACGCTTGTAACACATTTCCGTTTCATCTTTTTTATAGGATTTTTCCATTTATACCCCGTCCCTTCAAATACGCAACTACCCAATCATAAAATAGATACTGTCAAATAGTGAAGGTCCTGTTTATCTCTTTTCCCGATTCCATTTTGTTGACTCACTATTTTTACTCAGTCCGTATTTACACGAGGCGTGATTTGAGCTGCGACATCGCTTGAATGTTTATTATTGTACAGTAGCAAGCATAATAAGAAATTCGACGCATCGTTTTTTACGAGCATGATTTAAGGGACGCCCTTCGCCTCCTTACGTGCTTAATACGGCGATCACGTGAACTGATTTTCACGCCTTAACATTACAGGAGATCCGCTTAAGAAAATGTTCATTCAAAATAACACCTGCTCGTAAAAGGTTGTATCGATACGTATAGAAACGCTGTAAAAATTTAGGTTGGTGTACTTTATTTTGAAAATTTAGAGATACTATCGATATTCTATTATAATACATAGGTACATTCATCTTCATAATGTAAATATTAATGTCCTCTTTGCTGGGGCACAGGCTTTCCCTATGGATGGAATAGGGAGGTTGGGCCATGATCCACCACGGGGGATCAGTGCGGATTGGCGGGTGCTAACGACTGCAGATACAGCCGGGACCAACGGCTTAACGTGCCTTCCGAAGCACGGAGGAACTCGAGACAGAAGTTTTTGGTCACCCACCCAATGACCGGCCACTGCGAAAGTTGCTTAACTTCAACGATCGCAGCCCAACGCGCTTACCACCCGCGCCATCGAGCTCCTCCACATAGATGCTTTATCTTGGTATAAACTCTTTGTCATAACAGTGTGACTACAGATTACTTAATAGTTACTTCGTGTATGACCAAGATTATGACTTTCTGACATCCACGCGAAAGAAGTATCGGGCGCTGCTTGTATCTACATTTTCATTATCATTTGAGCAATTAAATATTGCTAGTTTTATGTATCTAAAGAAAATATAGACTAGAAATAATTGTCTGGTATCGAGAGACTTTTTGCTCAACTAGGTACGTGTCATAAAATTTTATAGCATTCAATGTATTAATTCAATGTATGCCGTGTTCAAATAAAGCAATATTGAAATAATGATGACCACAAGCTTGAAACGAAACAGTATACGGTTGATGTGCACCCAATCCAAAAAAAAAATCTAATTTTAATTCTCCTTAAAGAATATTTAAATCCCACGTGGACTTGGAAGTAAAGAAAAAACATACAATGCGCTGGTTTCCAACGTTGAAGTGCAGATACTAAAATCCTACCAGTGGATATGTTCGGAAAGTACTTTCCTTTTATTTCCGAATAATGGCGCAATTGTACTTGGCCTTTAGCCCGAATACGAGTGCTAATGGAATTTAGGTAAACGAGTAAGTGTAAATGAACGGAGTCGAGTACGCCCGTTTCGTTTTGGTTACCCAACACCTTCTTATTCCAGTGTAAATATTGTTTCGGGTGCCCGAATTCGAGTAATGTCTTTCGTGCACCCGAATACGGGCTAATGACCAAGTGAAATTGAGCCATAAGAATGTTAGACCAAACCAAGGCTAACTTAGCATCGCTGAGAAATTGATAAGTTTTTTGAATACAAGAACTGAAACGTCAAATAAAAAATCTATTAAGCGGGTACATAGTTTTAGTACATACAAGTTTCAACAGCGATTTCGGAATGAAAATGTGTTCAAGTGCGATTGTTTAAAGACTTGTATAGGGAAGCACGGTGTTTAGTGAGTGTATTGTGATTACCATTGTGTGTTAAGTGTGTGGTAAATAAAGTACTGTCAAGCGTAAATTGGCTTATAATTTCGAACCCCATCTCGACACGTAACACTATTTTAAACTATTGCTTGGAACTCTTCATTCTACTGTATAGCAACCTAAAATGACGGCATTTATATACATTATTGTATGTTTTAACACAGAACATATATAAGCAAAAGCGAATTCTTCGAAATGTGTAAGCGCATTGCTCTGAGTCATAATTCAATTTCAAGTCTGTCCACATATTACATGCGCGATTTATATGCAATTTGTAAGTTATTGCGCGATCATAAAGCTAATATGAATAGCCCACAATATTATTGAATAAAAAAAGAAAAATTCTAGGTTTATTTAGCAAATTAACTTCAAGAAAAGTCAGTGTTGTTAATCTGTCGATAAGAACACTTAGCGGGTATCATTTCTCGCTTGGTTTTATGTTGATATTTTTTAATGTTAAAATGGCAAACATGTTTATAGCTCGTCTGATGGCAAGCGGCCACCTTAGCCTGCGATACAAAAATATCACTCGCGCCGTTTGCTTATCCTGACCCAATCTCCTACCCCGTGGAGCCCTGGAACCTAACTCACCGACAGAAACACAACACCACCAAAAGGCAGTGTTATTTTACTGTGATGTTTTGTAATGTGGAGGTTACTTGCCTAGACGGACGCACCAATTCAAGCGGAAAACCCGATACGCCTCGTCTCTTATTTTTTTTTAATCCTTAGCTAGCTGGGCCCCAGGGTGAGAAGTCGGTAACTAGCGGCTTATGCGCTCCGGCTGGCCACCGGCACTGCGGGATTACCGGGTCCCGCAGTGGGAAAATTGTTACCGAGGCGTATGGAGGAGGCGGGGATAGTGATATGGAGGAGGAAGAAACTATGCCATCACGTATAGTTAAAAAGGCGAAACGAGGGAAGGACAAGCACAAGCGCAAGGCTGTGTCACGCACTTCTGAGGACTCACAGAAGCCGGAGGAACTTCCGGTTCCGGTGAGGCACCGAAAGGTGAGGAACCGAAAGGTGAGGAACCGAAAGGTGAGGAGGAACCGGAGCTTCTGGAAGAGGGAAACCGGGGTGTCATCAAGGACTGGAGCACCATCACGGCGAAGGAGATAAGGTTCGCAATTAACAACCGCCTGGACTACATCGAGGATTTCGCAGAGAAGAAATCACCCGACGAGGAAGACGATCTTCAAGGGGACGAAGCAAATTTCGGATTTTATGGGGATGGCCTTGAAAAAGGTAGACTCGGTGGAGCGGCTAGACAAGGTGGAAGAGGAGAATGGCCGACTCCGGAAGGAGAATGAGAGTCTCAGGGCAGAAGTCGAGGCCCTGAAGAAGGAGTTGGGCTCGATGAAGAGGACGATGGAGAGAGGGGCACCATGTGCCGGAGACAGTCATGCAAATGACGCATAAGCTGAAACGCTCCCTTATGGTTTCCATAGGGGAGATGGTCAGTATTCGGCTGGGCTCATTCTCGGAAAGGCTCAAGCTGCCACCAGCGAAGAGCCTCAGGCCACCACTGGCGTAGCGCGGCGGAGACCGCAGCAAAGCCGGAGACAAGGTAGCAGTGGAGCGTAGTAGCTGAGGGGGAAGCCGAAGAAAGACAAGGGCACGGCTCCCGCAGCCAGCCCAGCGCAGAAGGGGAAGGCTGCCGCGCAGAAAAAAAGTGGACCGGATCGGAGGAAGGATGGGGAAAGGGCGCCGCGAATAAAGGTGCCGAGTACCGCCGCAGTCGAGCTGAAGGTGAAGCCCGGGGCGGAGGAGCTGGGCTTCACCTACACTAACATAGTGAAGATGGCATGGGCGGCAATAGAGCTGCTGTCCGTGGGCATTGACGATGGACTTAAAATTAAGACCAGTCAGACTGGCTCCAGGCTCCTGCTCGTATCGGGGCCTGGAAACAGGGAGAAAGCGAACGCCTTGGAGGAGGTGGTTGGCGAATACGTGGAGATTTGCCGGCCCGAACAGTGCGCGGGCCTGAAGATGACCGGACTCGACGAGTCCGTGACGCTGAAGGAGCTGAAAGAGGCGATAGCCAGAGAGGGAGGATGCGCGGAGCGCGAAATCTCTTTGGGGGAAGAGCACCTAAGTCCAGGAGGGATGAGGGGGATCCTCGTACGGTGTCCCACATGGGCCGCGAGGAAGTTGGCGGAAAAAGGGAAGCTCAAGGTGGGTTAGAGCTCAGCGAGGGTGACGGTTCTCAGCCGGCTCGTGCACTGTTTCCGGTGCATGGGCAGGGGGCACGCGGTTGCGCGGTGCCCGGCGCAGGAGGACCGGAGCACTTTGTGCTACCGGTGTGGGAAGACGGGGCATAAGGCAGCGGTGTGCGCTGCCCCACCCCGATGCGCAGTCTGCGCCGAAAGTGGCAGGCCATCTAGCCACATCATGGGGAGTAGGAGGTGCGACCCTCCGGTTACCAGCGGCAAAGCCCCAGGCAAAGTGGTCGCTGAGTCGTCGGCGCCGGGACAGGCACACTTAGAGGACGGGATGTCCGAGTAGTCTAGGCTGCTCGGACTCCCTGCCGACTGCCGCCGTCCGCGTCTCCCATCTCGTCTCCTAGGAGAAGGGTCCTGGAGACGCGGGTGGCCGGGAGAGGGGATGTTTGCCCCCGCATCGACGGCGAGGGGAGAGGGACGGGGAGAACTACGCTCCTCCTCCCGCCCCTCGGGGAACCAGTGGCCAGGCGTGGGGGGTGTCGGGTCGCATTGCACGGTTCCTGAGACGTGCGGAACCCCTGATACTCCGGGGAATCGAACGCCGGGGGGTCCGGCAACGGACAATCACTGGCGGGGCCGCGGTGCGTTGTGAATCCCGTGGCTACTAACCCGCACTCTCGGCACGCAATGGTGGGACTCCGCAATCCGGGATTGCGTTTCGGGTGACCAGAGCAGGAGTAATGCCTGGTTTTTAGTGGCCCTGTTTAGGGCGTAGGTAAAAAGGTGGGGCTCATGCTAGGGCGTTTTTATCACGCTCAATTGTCAAATTACTATGGAGTTTGACAGTTAGACGCGATAAAAAACGTGATATAATGTAAATTGTGGTGCTCATGATTGCGTCTGTTTTGTAAGCGTGATTGCCACAATTTAAATGAAACTGTGGAGTTTAGTTCACTTAACTGAACGCCGCTAAGTTATTATGGCCAAAGCCGGTAGTGCCCGACTGGGTAACGGCTCAATCGATTTTAATAAAGACCTCGAGTAATACAAGCTGGATTATTAGGAAACTTGAGAGGTCACCGTTGCTCGCTCGGAATACATTGACGTTTGCTCGGATTATAAATGTTGGGACTTTGGAAACTGCAAAGTTTCCCGTGGATTAGCTTTAAACACGTTACCTACTTTGCTAATTGGCGACAACAGATAACTGTTATACATTTTGGGTTTCATGTCAAACGAGCTTTCAGTTATACCTAGTTTTTAGAAAATTAACATTTTTGCGAGATATAAAGTAGCCTCTATCTTAATTCACGCAATAATTGCTCCACACGTCACGCAATTATTTCGTGTAAAAAAAAATGATAAAAATGTAGTTTACTTATTCTCTACTATCTAGTAGATGTGTTGCAATTCCATATTTATTCGTATCAATTGGATAAGATTTCTCGTCTAGAAAGAAAACTGACAAGTTTTCAGACCAGCGCTAAAAACAGTTTTACTTAAGCTTCCTATTCCTACCATTTCCGTAAAGAACACTTTTCAAGACGATAGTTTTTGCTAATACAAAAATAAAAAAATACTTTTTTCTATTAATGTTTTCTTTAGATTTGAATATTAGTTTCAGTTATCAGTTAAATAATAAAAAAATAAATAATAAAAAGAAATACTTATTAAAATTGATGTTTCATGAGTATACTTTTACGTCAATTTGTATTTTCCTCTTGATGGTAGGAAAAGGTTTATCATTTCTCATTAAATGGCAGGAACTCCTTCGCGAAAAAAATATTACATTACTTACCTATTAAAGTAATATTTGTAACAAAATACCGTCAGCGAAGGACGGTCGAATAGAAAGACTTCCTTGTTATCTTCGTTATATTACGATTATTGTTTATTTCGTACGATTCCAAATGCTATATTTGGAATCGTGTACATTTTATATGTATTCTATATAGGTACATAAAGGTAATGCACGAAATTTATTGATTTATTGACGTATCGCAGCCTTTTCAGGTTTGCATCGTCAGAATAATGATTTCTTATTTACTTTGTCGAGCTATAGATACTATTAGTTCTTTTTGTTTGCATGATTAAACATAAGGAGGAGATAGAAAGCCTCTCTGAGTTTGTTTCGCTGGTTCTTCTCAGAAAGGTCTCCGAATTTTGGAACCGGTGGTAGTTTACGGTAGTTAGGGTCAAGTAAATAACTCAAAATTACAATAACTAATTTTAAATAAAGTACTTTATCAACTAAATTAGCTAATAAATTCATACATACACAATAAAGTTTTAAAAATCTTCCAATGAAACATCCGAATGCTCAATAAAAGTCTTTCGAAGGTAGCACGACAAAGTAAATAAAAAATCATTAATCTGACGATGCAAAACTGAAAAGGCTGCGGAACGTCAATAAATAATTAAATTTCGTGCATTAAGCCGTTAAATCTCGTTTTATTTAATGAGTGATGTGCGTGAAAACCTACGAAACAAATCGGCCATAACTTGTGGTCGCGCCCAATCGTAAGTTTTTTGAAAAGATGCAACTGGAGGATTCACGAAACATCTCTTCTCAATGACGGATGCATTCGAATATTTTTCTCCTATTTGCTACCCCTTCGTACGGCTCCTAGCAAACCGGCAGATTAATATTTTTCCGTCATCAGAAACGTTAAGTGAAGCTCCAGAAACTAAGTATTTATATTTCTTTCTAATAACAAAAATGTATTAAAATTTGTTACGACTGAATTTACTACAATATCTAGATTGACTGCGAAAGGGGGCCGAAATATTTTAAGCACTAACAACATCATTTACTATTTTAATTTTTGCCTTATTATAGACTTTTTTAAAGGACGTCGGTCAACTCCCATACAACGTTTTATTTCAAATTAAATTTAAATCTAAAGAAAATATAACTAGAAAAAATTCCACGCGGACCAGGCAGCAGACGGGACTCGAACCCGCACCCTTCGCAATCCGGGCGAATGCACTGACCAATTATGCTACCGCGGCCCTCACGGACCGCGTCGAAATTCCTTCTAGCTATTCTTAAGCTGCAAGGCAGCGCCATCTCTTCGCATTATAGGTAATATTACCTAGGTAATATCTTCGCATTATAGGTAATATTACCTAGGTAATATTACCTATAATGCGAAGAGATGGCGCTGCCTTGCATTGCATATCTTCGCATTATAGGTAATATTACCTAGGTAATATTACCTATAATGCGAAGAGATGGCGCTGCCTTGCAGCTTAAGAATAGCTAGAAGGAATTTCGACGCGGTCCGTGAGGGCCGCGGTAGCATAATTGGTCAGTGCATTCGCCCGGATTGCGAAGGGTGCGGGTTCGAGTCCCGTCTGCTGCCTGGTCCGCGTGGAATTTTTTCTAGTTATATTTTCTTTAGATTTAAACATCAAGCAGTTACATGCTTTAAAAAAATAATAAAAATTATAACTCAAATTAAATTGTTGCGTCTTTCAACAAATGATATATTATTAGATTCTGCGTTTATTGAGCTTATATAAGTCAGAATCACGACGAAAGAAAGCCGAGGAAAAAAGATATTTTGCTCTGAACATTTATTGGTTATGTTATTTTCTCATTTTTATTACGTATCTGTATTACATTTTTTCATTACAGAAATTGATTTTTTGCACAGAAATCATAACAAGTATACGAATATCACAGATAAATTCAAAATGTAGTAGTAGCCATTTGATTTCATCGTGTGCGGTTGGCGACTTATTTTAATTATTTTTAAATTCGTTCACAGTGGATATTGTTAAATAAAATTGGTGTGATTTTGTATTACAACCGTCTGCGCAACTGAAGAATTAGTGGAATCTTTAAAATATACGCTATTCCGGTCTAGTGGACGTGAGAATTTTATTGTAGTGTTGACTACCTTCCAGAAGCTTACCCGAAAAGCCAACTCGATACATTTCGTGTCAAACACTCCAAGAAAAATTACAATGAGTCACACCGACATTCTAATGTAACAAAACGAAGATTAATAAAACTAAAGACTTGGCTTTATGAGCATTATTCCCTTTGCCTGCCCCGAAAAGGAAGAATCTTAAAAAATATCATTCTAACTTGTCCTATTTGGTAAATAATCTTGGCACAACTTTTTTATAAAATCACCAATTTAAAAAAATAATAATGAAGTCAATAATCTATTACAATAAATCGTTATTATAGACTGAAACCTATTGAATCTAGTTATCAGTTGATTTTAATGCTGTATTTTCAATAAAAAGAAGTGCCAAGATTGTTTACCAAAAAGGACAAGTTAGGATGAATGTCAATGCAGTGTTTTATATATTTTTTTTATTTTACTCGGCTTTTTTTTGTGTCAATTACAATTCGTAAAAACTGTTTATATTTAATTAATAATATTAGTAAAAATATTTATTCTAGACGTTCAACTTTGATCCAAATATGATTTGGCCGATGCCCTTTGCTAGTCTTGATTCTTGGTAAAATCCTTATTTGTGAAATGAAACTGAAAGAGTAAAGAAGTATATTTTTTTGTGCTGTCTTTTCGCTAGAAGTAACTTAACGGTCAAGTGCTATCATTAGTACTCACTAATCCGTGCTGTAAACTTAATATTTTGGCGTATCCTAATAATATTGTGTTATCTAGCAGTTTAATGCTTAAAATTTTAATGAAAATAAATATAGCAATATTTATGAGAGGATTTTTTTCCCTCTATTATTATCATCCGATGTTCTCTGACTGTTGTTGTTCTGGTAGGTACTGTCACTCGTAATTTTTTACTTGCCATCTTTTGAGATAACGTTTGCTTACCAAGCTGACAAAGACACGCTTACAGCGCCGAATGGCCCTAAAATATTTTTTATATTTAAATGAAAATTAGTGCCCAGCAGGAATTACATGGCTCGCGATCCGTAGAAAGCAACGCAATTGTGGGACAGCGTAAATACGCTCCATTCAGCCGGGCCCGCCAAATAAATTGTTACGATTTTTCTTTGACGCCTCTAGAATGTTTCTTTTATACGTTTGGTTCAAATATTGTGTGACCAGCGACAGCAATAAAGAGATTTGAAGGGATTCAATGCTGATATAGTTGTAAAAGAAAATCTATACAAATCGGATGAAGAAAATATATTGGATATTATTGTACGAATATAATACGGTCGGAGCTCTTTGCCCAGAAGTGAAGTGACCTAATTGTGATGGATCATTTTATGACAGTTTTTTTTTCATTTATTTTGCCAACAAACAGTCCTCTATATAATATTGAGGTACATGCATATATGTAAATACACACATCAAAAGTGTCTAGGGATCAACATATATTTTTGCAATAACTTTTCTCCTGATTGATATTAATTAAAATTTTCTTTAAGGATTCATCAAATAAAGTGTTTTCGTTTGTCACAGTAACGATAAACCAAGTCACCTTTGCATTAATAAAGAAATTTGCCATTTTCCTAATAAAGGGATTTTTGACATTTGAACCACTAACACAAAAGTTCGAAAAAAAGACTGAAATAACAGTTTTCTCTAAAATTTTATTGGGTAACTTAAACAAATAATCCGTATTTCTACCGCGAACACTAACAACACAAGAACATCGGTTTGGCATACTCAAAATGAGTTCATCCAAATCACGCTGTGGAATGGCCGCCCATGTTCGTTGCAACAACAAAAAAGGTCTTCTTGCGACTGGATACCCTCCATATTCGGCAGAGCTCTTCTCTGTAGCATATCCCATGCATGCTCAATCGGGTTCAAGTCTGGCGACTGAGCAGGCCAGGGCAGGACATTGATGTTAGCTGCGGCGAGAGTCTGTCTTACAACTCTTGCGGTGTGCGGTCGTGCATTATCATGCATTAACTGAAATAAGGGACCGATTTGCACTTGTAGAGGAACGATGACGTCTGATACAATCGTCTCAGCATAAATTTGAGCGTTGAGGTTGCCTCTGATCCAAATCAACTCAGTTCTTCCGCCGATCCAAATACCCGCCCATACCATGATGGTTCCACCACTATAAGGATGGACTTCCTGGCAGGATTTTAATCGCTGTTGGCGTCCAGGGGTTCTCCAGTGTCGTATACGTCTTGTATCCGGTCTCATACCAAAACGAGACTCATCAGAAAAGCACACGAAACGCCATTGTTCTTCTGCCCAATTTCTGTGTTCAAGAGCCCATTGATATCGAATCCTACGATTGTGCATTGCTATAGGTGGTACCCGTAGCGGTCTTCGGGAATGAAGGTTCACTTCATGCAAGCGGTTTCTGACTGTTTGGTCGCTAATTAAGTTCCCTGAAGAGTGATGAAGCCTCACGGCTAACATCATGGCGGTTATTGTTGGAGCTCTTCGAGTTAAGATTTGAATGTATCGGTCTTGTCTCCGTGTGGTGCAGCGATACCGTCCTCCATGGCGCTCAGCCACGGTACCAGTGCTTCGGTATCGTGTCCAAAGTCGACTGATAACACTCTGACTTGTATTCAGAGCTAAAGCCACAGTACGTTGCCGGGAACCAGCTTCTATCATTCCCACGGCTCTGAGCATTTCTTCCCTGCTTAAATGACGTCGCCGCTCCATAATAACGTTGGTTTTAATCAGTAGTAGGGAAACAGTAGCACTAATAATGTCTTCAATGCGTTGTATGTTTTTATAGGGAAAATATTGACAGCTGATTTTCATCTTTTACTCGAATTTGATTCACAGTTCCTGATTCAAATTATGAAATGCACCAAAAAGGATCCATATAAATTTATAAAATCATAAATTTATTACAAAGCCACATCTCAATCTCAAGAAATCCGCATAAAAATGCTTGATCCCTAGACACTTTTGATGTGTGTATCAATAGACCAAACCGTGCCCAGAGCTTATTACAGTTATGGTACTAACGAGAGTCTTAACATAGACATATTCATCTAATGCTTGGCAATTTATTGACATAAAAGATTTAACAAATTATAAAAAAAAAACAGAAATTCGAGAAACACTATTTTTTGGATTTTCCATTAATATACCATTTAGTTTTCTTTTAACTGTTGATAGATAGTTTACAAAGATCTAAATCAGAGTACTCTTTGTCATAAACGATGGTGGCTCTTTGTTATAAACGATGGTAGCATGTAAAAAAAATGTAACTATAATTGCTATTTCTTCTTTCAAATGCTGCCTGGTCCGCGTGGAATTTTTCTAGTTATATTTTCTTTAGATCTAAACATCAAACATCAAGCATGTACCTAATACATGCTAAAAAATAAAAATTATAACTATAATCGCTATTTCTTCTTTCAGATGATTAATACTTGTAAAAGTATTCATTTGACATTGTGTGTTACCTACAATGCGAATAGATAGCTTGCAGCTTAAGTATGGCTGGAGGTATTTCGACGCGGCCATCAGGGCCGCGGTAGCATAATTGGTCAGTGCATTCGCCCCGATAGCGAAGGGTACGGGTTCGAGTCCCGTCTGCTGCCTTATCAACATAATATAAAGAAGGGAAAATATTGAAATAATCACCAAAAAATACAACTGCCAACCTAACTTTACCTTTAGGTTAGGTACCAAAAAACTAGTAAATGATCAAACCAAATGGTGATCATTTACAATTTTGGTGATCATTTAAATATTTTCCCTTACTTTATATTATGTTGATTATGTTTATATTTAACGACTGATTCTATACATGAACACTCTGTTAAGAATAACGTCGAGCCTTACACGCTTATAATACGTACACTAAACCTTTTTCACACAAAAGGTAGTTTTTTTAATGTTCCATGTCATTCGTCCTGTCTCTTGAAATTCATTTTGTTGTGCTCGCTCATGGATCCTTATATTTATCTAGTGAAATCTAAGTTCATGAATATTTTTTATTACTTAGTAATAAGAGTTATATTTGCAATGCGTCCACTGCTCTTGCGTTGACTGTAAAATGGCTCTTGAATCGTTTTAACTTTTTTGAAACACGCGTAATTGACTTGATAAGTGACGTCGTCAAATTAGGGAATGAATTAGGGAATATTTTAAGGTAAGTGATCTACATTTTTAAATTTTTGATTGATAAAGCTTTTCCTTCTCTCCATTACGTTTTAACGGAAATCCTTAAAATAGCGCACAACGTAATTACGATACAATTTGACATTGACGCCTCGTTAAATAACGTAGTATTATAAAATAAATTATATCCTATACGAAGGTATAATTACAATTGAAAAAAAAAACATGATAATGACCATGAAAAAGCACTAACGACCAGTCTCTGTAAGCAAACACCTGTAAGAGTCTATTAGTGCTTTGTTGCCTGGATATTTTTATTATTTAGATTTTAACCCATTGCTAAGAAACGGAACAAAATTATTCGTATATTTTTATTTACAAGCATGTAACTGCTAGATGTTTAAATCATATTTATTTGCAGCGCAATGTGCGCTTGGAAACGGACTTGCGCCACTGTGCTGTGAGAATTTATTATTTGCGTCTCACACGGCGACAGCCGTCGTGCACTTCGATAGCAATGAGTCAGCATCCTGCAGATCTGCAAATCCAATTTCAAAGAAGAGGAGGTTTGTAGTGGCAAAACGTTACTCTTTCGGTCCGTCGGCAAGGCTGACCAGATGCCATCTCGCCCGAGGGATGGAACGGAGAAGAGTCTGCAGGACATAGTTACTCTGCTGAAAAAATTGGATTGGACCACGTCGATATCAACAGGTTACTCAAAGACATCAACTTCCTAAAATCAAATCTGGCCGATGTAGTGAACAAGTTAGAGGAATTAAACAACACCATCGGTGAGTTGCGTACCGAAGTGGAGTTATTAAGTAGCGTCGCATAGGCAAGCAGGTCACTCGAGGCCTTCAACTTGAACTCACGTCGTGGGGCGCATAATGCATCCATCAGCAGTTTAGAGTCGGCGCATACGAGTGCGTCTCCTGCTGCGAAGCCTACGCCGTACCGGAGACATCACGCGTCTGCAATTTAACACTAAAACGCGCTTACGCAGCTGCAGCCGCAAGCTGATCAGTTTCTGTCACGCAACCTTAGCGGAATTCCACTCATCCAACGAAAAAGGGTAGCCAAGACATCCCTCGTGCAACTCCGACGGAATCACGAAACCATAATTGTGACGGGAAGCCCGCTCTTCGCAATCTGTGTGGTGTAGCCCCGATCGAACCGAATAACCTGCTGCGTCCAGTGATTCCTATGACGCTGCTGTATGTGTTCCGCTTACATTACACCATGAAGGCGGAGGAGATCGCAGAATATTTGCGTACGAAGACCAATCTCACCCTGAGAGTCGCGCGGTTAGAGTCTCGCCAAGACGTAAATTTTAATACATTTGTGATGAGAGTGCCGGCTCAACATCTGGCGACCTATTTGAAAAAGGAGCTTTGGGCGAAAGGTGTGATTTTCCGGCGTTTCAAAGGCAGGCTACAGGTTGCACCACGTAACTTTAGCGCTGAAAAAACGCGGAGGGGATAGCTGCGCATGGGTACGAATAGAGAGCCAGTCGATGCAACGAACGCCCACCCGCGCACCTCGTTTCCCCCTAAGACATCTTAATTTTGAAATCTGCGCAATAATGGACAGCGCTAGACTTTTGTGCCGTGACTTATACCTGACACAAAGATAATTTAGCATTGCCCTCATCAAGTCTTAAAATCCATAGTTCAGGTCCACGAATAAACGCAATTAAAATTTATAATAAATTACCTAAATATATAACCGTAACACATAACGTAAAAAAGTTTGCATAAATTTTGAAACAATATTTATTGCATAAAACCTTCTATAGTATGCAAGAGTTTTTTGATGAAAGTTAGCGTACTTGTAATCTAAAAATTTACTGTGATTGATTATAACTATGTGTATTTTATTTATTTTTTGTATATTGTTATTTTAGTACCCTTACAGGGTTCATGTTTGGATCTGAAACGAAATCTTAAGAACTTGTTATTACCACATAAAACAATAAATATATTGAATTGAATTGGTCCGTGCATCCGCCCGGGTAGCAGAGGGTGCGGGTTCAAGAGCCGTGTGCTGCGTGGTCGCGTGGAAATTTTTTCTAGTAAAATTTTCTTCAAATTATTCTTACCTTTTACTAGAATTTCATCATTGAAATCATTGAAACAGCTCAAACATCTAGTAAAGTTTGGTTTTTGAAACTGGTCATATTTAGTTTTTGTGTGTAGCATCCGCTTGCGCTTGTTACTTATTTGCCGTCGTTTAGATTTATATGTATTCCTGCTAGTTTTGCTTAAGTCTTTATTCTTTTGGAATGTTAAGAAAAACAATTTCAGCCGCAAGATACAAGTGCGGTGCTCTTTTAACCCAAACAAAAGGACCTGGTGGCTGGGCAAAATGGTTGGTGGTGGTATTCATTGTATAATGCGGTACTAAAACCGAGGTTTTCTTCTATTGTAAATTCGCTGTTGTGCAAGAGATTTTGTGTAAAATTAATAAAATTATACTTGTAGGTGTCGTGTAATCTTTCTCTTTGTTTCTGTCTTTCTCTTGTCGTGAACTTATTAGGGTGGTATAATAAATCTATTGTTGTTAATAAATATTTCATTTTGGTCTAGGTTGTAGTATTTCATTGTTTTCAAGTTCAAATTGTCAAGGTTCTGGGATGTAGTATTCCATTGCTTAACAAAGTTCCCCAAGATCTGATTGAGCTTCCACTAACCAAATTTAATCTCAGATTAAGAATACTCTTATGAATAAGGGCTATTATAAAGTTAATGATTATCTAAATGATCGTAATGCATGGCCAAAGTGTTTCTTGTAATTTGTTATTTGATGGGTATTAGTCAGTTTTTGTAACAGTAATATGGTACCTATCCATTGCCACTTCCTATATCTTTATATATATAATTCTTCTGTGAGTGTGTATGTCACTGAACTTCTCTTAAAGGACTGGACCGATTTTGATGAAATTTTTTGTGTGTGTTCAAGGGGATCTGAGAATGGTTTAGATTCACAATTTTGTCCGCTGGACAACCCCTATTTTTTTAAGGGCGGTACGAAGTTCGCTGGGTCAGCTAGTACTCAATATAAAATTTATTGTAACTATATATCTATATCCTAAATGATGTAATGGAAGATGACTTCAGAAGTATCTCTGAAGTCATTTTTCAACTTGACTACTGTGTATATATCAATACAGGGAGAAAAAAACAGCCCTTGCTGAGTTTCCTGCCGGTTCTTCTCAGTACAAGGTCTCCCGCCGTAGTTTTGCGAACCGATGGCGTAGCTTCTTGACCTTTACAAGTGCCTAGACTGAATAAATGACTTTTCATTTCATTTCATCTAAGTAGTTTAGAAGTTGAGGCCAACTTACAATTATTCATTGACTGTTAATTACCGAAATTTTTCTGAAAAAATGTTAACAGATAATTATATATAAAATAATGAAATTTTGTAATTTTTCCTTTCTTTCAGCTATAACATGGAGGTCTTGAAAAGGTGGGTAAACCTTTTCCTTCAGTGCCGGCAATGCATGAGTGGTACCCTTGGTGCTGCAAGTGACCACTTTCCTTCAGTCGGACTGCCAGCTCATTTGAGTGCATAACATCTCCAGTGTACCCCTATTCTAATGCAAATAAATAAATTCTAATTCTAATTCTCATTCTAATAAAATATTCCCGGAAACTGTACCGTTTCCGGCTAGAACTGACGTTGAGTGCTTTACAAAATTAACCTAACGAACAACATAGCCATGTGTATATGTATGTATATAAACAACATAGGTATATGTATGTATATAAACACTTTCTTTAGTAGAATTTTGCGTATCCCGATATACCTATCTGATATTTCCAGGAACTTTAGTAATTGAAGGAATAATCACAAGAAACTGCACAACTTTGCAGGATTTAAAGTGTCCAGTCCCCTTATTAATAAACGATGTAAAAGCTTAGACTAGTTACGCCGTGTTTTGTTCATTTCAATTAAGTTCCATTTGTCATTCAATAAACAGAGACAAAACATAGAGTAACCGTTGTAAGTTTGTTCACGATTCTGTGAAATTAAACCTCACTACCGAGTTTTCGATTGCTCCAATTTGAGACATTAGATATATATATATATATACTCTTTATTACTCGCACATACAAAATTAAGGGGCTTACTAAAACAGATAGTAAACTATGGTGGGTAAAGGCGGCCTTATCGACAAATGCGATCTCTTCAGACATTAGATATGTAAATATGCATTACGCTCTTACCCGGCAAAATGCCAGAATGGCTGTTGAAGTACCTAGTAATGGATATTTAAAAAATCCGAATAAAATCAATTGTAAGTGAGATTGCATCTTATGCTTTACTTGACTATTCGTATTCGCTCTTTGTCGACTTGAAAACAGCCTGTATTTACCATAAGGCATGAAAAAGACAAATTGGCCAAGTTGACAAATAGCAAAAACGGATAGCCAAGTAAAGTGCCTGCATTACAGAATCGACGTGCCCGTTAATTTGTTTGTAACTGAAAGCCGTAACAAATTACCACATACACACAATATCTGATTTCTATGTGTGTTTGGAGTCCCGTTTTAGCGAAAGCTGATACTGCAGAAAACTTTGAACTTCCAACCATTCCAAGGGCGCTTGTTAACGAGCGGTTTCTTCCCGCGCCGGTGCCAGCTAAGCTTGTTTACGATCATGGTTTGTATCACAGAACACAGAAATAGGTTAGAAGGATGATCATAGACCAATACACTTCCAGCTAATAGATAATAGCCAATCAAACGACGCGATATTAAACAATCAAACCAATCCGCGCTCACACCAGAGAGCGAAGACGCAATCCGAACCAAGTTTTGGTCACTTTAGAAGCATTTGCTCACACGTACCGTGACGCACCTGCCCCACCTACAAGGCCCTTCTAACAAACAAAAACAAGACACCAAACCGATGCCAGCGCCTGTTTTGTAAACAAACATCCATAGTGTCCCATATCTTACTGACGACTGTACAAAGACACGTTTCAAAACTGTGCCTAAACCCGGCTAGAAATGATGTCGTTAACAAGTATCCTCTCTTTTTGTGTGACTCTATCCTTTACCTACAAATCATTTCAATGCATATGTTTTAATTACAATTTTATGTTTATAGTTCAGATAATGCGCGTACAAGGGCGTGCGGCCTGCCTTAATACACCCAGATATCACAAATCAGGTCATCTAATAGCATTTCTTCGCTTAAAAGTTATAGTTATTGTTTTTAACCATGTTATTAAACAGACATTTTTTAATATAAAGATAAATAATAATAATAAATATTTCCAATACTCACACCAATTAGCCTAGCCCCAAAGTAAGCACTGTAAGGCTTGTATTATGGGATGCTAGGGTAACGGATAGAATACATATACTGTACATATATAAGTATATTTATATAGAATACATATTTAACATCCATGACTGGAGTACATATGCTCGTATTCATCACACAAACATCTGCCCCCATCGGGATTCGAACCCGGGACCTCTCAAGTCGGCGACATCATGAAATCCGGCGTGCAAACCACGGCCACGGAGGTCGTCAAGATATTAATAACATTTCAAATAGTGATGTATGTAATAACTGTGTAAATAATATTATTTACTGATGGGCATTTATGCTTCCTAAGCAAACAATGCTCGGATTTGACGCTACCTTGGAATTGGTAGTCTCGGTCGGAACTAGAAGCTTCATAATGTCCATTATATTATTAACCATACGTTATTTATGTATACTCATAATAATCTGAGTGATTTAAAACATACTTTTAATATCAAGTATTACTAAATTTGAATAGCAGTTTACTATAAATACCTTTTTTTCAAAAACAAATACGATGGAAACTTGATTGAAGTTGAAAGAAAGTAGATAGTTAAGTAATCAGACTTAATAAATCTAAAGAAAAAATTTACAAAAAAATTTAGTAAATAATATTTTCTAAATGCTTAAAATATGATAACCTAATCAGACTTTAATTAAAGGCGGGCGGGTAAAAGTAGTTGTTTTTACTTTACCGTACCTCAAAAGGAAAAAACGGAAGTCTTATAGATCAATCAATTTGTTATTAGTCTGTCCATCTGTTCCTCTGTCAAGACCATTTATCTCGGGAATGCGTGAAGTTATTCGGTTGCTATTTTAACCTTATGCTCAGGTCTAGGGTCCCTTAATGCTCTAAAAATTTTAAACTTATTAGTTAACTTTATAAAGAAAAGGAAAGGAAATCAATATTCAAATTATGGACCACAGTAAAACAACACTATCTTTTGGTAGTGTTGCGTTCCTGTCGTTGAGTAAGGTTCCAGGGCTCTACGGATTAGGGAATTGGGTCAAGGTAGCCAACAGCGCATGCTTGCTTGAAGTGAGCATCTACCTGTCCCAGGACCGCTGGCACCTGCGACTGAGCTACTGAACCATTTTTATCCACTGCTTCCACTCATCTCCTTCTGGGGGTGTGGATTGCGTTTCCTGGGAGAGAAGTTCGGGTGGATGGTAATGGCGAATAGAGAGGGAGTTCATAGCATTAAATTCCAACAAGGAAATGGATGCCCTTCTCATCGTGGGTGCGGTGCCGTCGGAGTCATGCACGAGGACCAGGCGAGGCCTTATTTGCGAAGGCAGCGGATATTCAGGATGTATCAACACCCGGCAAACCTGGGCCAGTCCGGATGATTGACACATTGCACGGCTCCATCGTTTGGGGAGACGCCTAATGCGCCTTAGCTTCTCCCGGCAGAGAGGAGGGATCAGAAAGTCCTTCCTACTGGGAGTGAGTCTCCCGGCGACTTTAAAACGGATTCCCGGGTACCAATCCCAGCCGAAAGTGCACCGTGGGGTTTTTAGTGGGTAGGCCTCCGGGTCTCATCGAACGATTCGTATCCTTGGAATGGAGTCCTACATAACCTCGCCGCTCGTCAGGCGGCGGGGTATGTATGCGTCATGTATTTTCCCCATGGTTTAAAAATGCAATACCGCATGTGACATTTTTTTTGTATCGAATGTTTCTATAGGCTGTGGTAGCCACTTACCTTTAGGCGAGCCATACGCTTGTTTGCCACTCTTTTAGCATACAAAAAATAAGAATTCTAAAAATAAGACAACACAATCACTAAGCAAAATCAGAATTGTCTCCAAGACTGCCCATGAATCCGGTGTTTCTTCAGAGACGCATGACGTGGTTGAATAGAGAATTCGCAAAAAGGTTTTTATGAGGGTTATTGTGAGAATTTGCTGGTAATATAATGCCTCTAGTCGACTGTATTTCTCACAGAAGTAGGGTACACACTCAGCCGGAACTCATAGTAAACAGAAACTAAGCGGGATAAGAGGATTAGTTCTATAAAGGTCATTATTCCCTCTGCTCTTGTTTGTTGTACGCCTTGATTCAGGGTTGTCGCAATAATCGTATATCTTATGAATGTGGCGATACTAACTGAAGTATATCTAATTTATCATTTTAAAATAGGTTTGATTAAAAATACATTTGTGTAACATAAGAAATGCTCAGTGCGTAATCCTATGAGTACAGTGCATAAAAATTCCAACAACTTAAAATTGGTATAATATCACTCATATATATGATGCTCTGAACTACACTCATATCTCATTCATCATCATCAGCCTATTAATGTCCCCACTGTTGGGGACCCAATCTCTATATTCCATCCATAGGGAAGGCTTATGGATGGAATATGGAGAATCGGCAATGACCCACCACACAGGCCCAGGATGCAACCGGGATCGATGGCTGCGTCCCTCCTGAAGCACAAATCAGCTTGGGATAGTAGTTTTTTGGTCACCCATCGAATGACCTACCAATGCAAAAGTTGCTTAACTTTAATGATCGCAGCCGAATGCGCTATCCACTTGCTTCATCGAGCTCCTCGATGAACATTTCATTCGGCCTCCGTTATTGTCCAAGAAAAGTGCTAATATTCCAATTGATAGCAAATTTTTCTGAAACTGCCTTTCCTATTTTTAGTAATAGTATCCTATAGTTTGATAAAGTAGACTTGGCGTTGACTTTGAGAATAGGATTGAATTCAACATCGTCTTTACTTTAACCAGTTCTTTTTTACCCGGAATCCCGGCGACTGCATATTACAACGCACGTGTATTGACTTTGCTACGCCATCGCTTCGCCCCGGGGCAAGATCCCGTACAACCGTATGTCGAGGATTTGGCGATCCGTTTCCTGTGTATGTTTTAACCTTAAACTTTAACTAGGTCGCAAGGGGTTGCTGCTTACCAAAGGCTAATATTACATGAATTTCCCGAAATTACTTAGTATCCTTAGTATCTTCCACTATCTGGGTGGCTATTCATTCGAAATGTTCCAAAAATGTCTGGAGATACTTTGAGAAGCGACGGTAATCAGCCGGTCGGTCGCTTGACATCTGATCTCGTACGCTGTTTAATTATTTACTTTAAGAGGGTACATGCGAACTTTCAGAATTTACTACAGTGATAAGTTTCTTTGCTCACCCAGCAAATCTACAGGTGTATTAAGTGGAAAACTTGAGGAGAGGACCTTTTAGTTGTTGAATTGGTTTAAACCAGTAGGATTCATATTATGAGCATAAGATGCTTCAAAGTTGTATTGCATCCGTTATTTAATACTAGTAACTTCCTGTGTAACTGTGTAACAATGTTATTTGTTCATACATTATATTTTCATGACAGAAAACTCTTAATGCACCTCTTCAAGGTCCCATTTATCAATTTAACTACCAAAAATCATAAAGGCGGGTTCGGAAAACTGATTGTTGCACCAACCATTGCCTATTGTATATTACAGTCTGAATAGGTGTGAGTACATTCATTGGATATAATATTAATTTAATTTTAACCATATGATATGTATTTGTACAAATGAATATTTTGCAGGGTAATCAGAAAATCGGCGGTGCAAGCCACGAGGCAATCAAATTCACTTCTGTGTAAATATAATTAACGATTAAACGAACTTACCTCTATGTGAAGTTCTATTATAATTACAAGAGGTATTGGACCGAAGATTTTACTATTCTGGACATTCTGACATTTGGCCCAACATACCCTGGAGGGTTATTTATACTTGTAGTACCGTATCCATTACTAAGTAGTGATGCATGAATGTGGTACTACAAGTGTAAATAATACTAACTAACATTGAGGACTAATACCGAAGTATAATTTCTTAAATTCTATAAAATATTCCAATGAATTAATGATACAAGTATAAAAGTATCGGTAAGATAATAAACTTTCTAAGTCTGGGTCGCTGGTTTCGGCACTTTGTATTTGGAGTGTCAAGCTTTTTTTAAGCCCCAAAAGTTTTAAAGGAAATCGTTACATCAAACTCGGCAACTTGGTGGGAACTTTTCAGCAAATCACGCAGTTTAGATACAAAATGCGAAGTGTCTCGGGAATCAAACTTCGAAGCTGATGACAAAGTGGAAATTAATAAAACAGCACATTTACAACAGTATTCTTTTTATAAAAATCCTGGTACTTTTTTTTAATACAAACTAAAAAAGCAGTTAAGAAATGCCGGAAATAACGGACGAATTTATAGAAAAAACAGTAAAGTAACATTATCTTTTCATGGTGCTGTGTAATATGTTGGTGAATGTGATTTTCAAGTTCACGTGCGTAGTTGCCACGACGACACCGCACTCACGACACCCAGTCTGGTGAATAAAATACAATAACGCAAAAGCAGGCCATCAATTTAGAATACACCACACACAGTTCCCAAATGAGGATCACTATTAGAGAATTTACTCGAGTATTAATTTACAAGACTTTAAAAGATCTCGATGGCGCAAGTGTTTAGCGCGCTCGGCTGCGATTGTTGAAGTTAAGTAACTTTCGCAGTGGTCGGTCATTGGATGGGTGACAAAAAAAATATTATCACGAAGCCCTCCGTGCTTCGGAAGGCACGTTAAGCCGTGGGTCCCAGCTGCATCTGCAATCGTTAGCACCCACCAATCCGCACTGGGCCCGCGTTGTGGGTCATTGGCCCAATCTTCCTATTTCATCCATAGCGAATACCTGTGCCCCATAAGTGGTCACATTAATAAGCTGATGATGCTGAGAAGGATTAGAGAATCAATGGCACTACATAATCTTTATATGCTATATCTTTTTTTAAGTTAAAATGGCGGCAAGCAAGCGTATAGACGTCCTGATGGTAAGCGGCCACCATAGACTATAGACACTTGCGATTCCAAAAATATCACTCGCACCGTTGCCTACCCTGACTCAATACCCTACCCCGTAGAGCCCTGAAACATTATTCACCGACAGCAACACAACACCACCAAAAGGTTATTTTTTTTATAGATAGGTCCGTCAAATGGCTCTACCCCACCTGATGTTAAGTGAAGGTGAAGTCCAGACGCGAAGATGTTGCTTCTTCACGTGGTTACTAGAAGTGAGTTTTTAAGCGATAAGCAACTAAAAATCTGCTTTTAAATAAAAGCACACTAGCATGCTTATAAATTGATAAACAACACGCTTTTTGCTTAGTCCTAAGTTCATTTAAGCAAATAATGTTTATGTTGAATTAGTCAAGGCGTCTATAGAAATGACACCGGGCAAGGATCACAGAATAAAAAAAAAGACTTTTTCACGTGTTTACTAAACCGTTGAATAAATTTAAGCCGTTTTTCCCATCGCTTGTGGTTATTTCCCTATACGGGCGCTCCAATTCGAGCGGCAAAAGCGCTCTGACATACCTCGCTTAAATATATATATTTTTAAGAGAAGTATGTCAAAGCGATATATATCGCTTCGATAGCCACAATAAGATGGAAAGATTATTGACGAAGCAGACCGTAATCTGGAGTCTCAAATAAATGTGAAGGTATTTTCCAATTATCATGAATTCTTTGTATTTCAAAGCTTTGATCTCATGTGTCAAAAGTAATCCTTTGGTATCAAGAATGGTATTTCAGGTGACAGTTGCCTGAAAAGTAGCGAAGCCTAAATAAAAATTCTGCTAAAAATTGAAATCCTTTTGTCACTCCTCTGCGATTCAACCTTAGAATCAACTGTCATAATAAAACTGAAATTAATATCATCAAGTTATAATTTTGACCAATGACAAATAATAATAATCAGTCACAAATTATGTTTCTTCAACCTAAGTGGTTGAACCCTCTGTGTACGAAATATGGTATAGCACATTCCAGCGAGGAAAAACTTGTAAAATTCTTATGATCACATAGAGTATTACACGATACTTTGACACTAAAGCGAGTAAAAATTAACGTAGATGGACTAACGTAAATGTGCTACGGCTTCGCCTCAGTGCACAATTACACGTTCGTCCATTAATGCCTCTTTTGGTGGCCGCTACAGTGATGTACTATAGTGAGTCAAACTTAAAAGATGGACTTAAGCTGCCGCGGACTATTTTATAGTACTTTAAAAGGGAAACAATTCCGTTATACAAGATTTTAGTGTTAGTTTAACCGTTTACGCAGCGTACGTAACGCAATCTCTCAAACGGAATATGTTTTCTCGTTTTTGCAACCTATTTCATCAATGCTGTGAGCCTATTGGTCGAAGCATGATGTTCCTCAATAAATGGACTATCTAACACATTTTTTTTTATAAATCGGGCCAGTAGATCCTGACATTAGCGCGTTTAACCAAACTCTTCAGCTTTATAAACAGCATGATACTCTC